CTCATCTCAAGTGACTGACCCCAAACCTTACAGTATGAATCACCCTGTCCCTGAGGCGATAGTCCCTGCCTAAACTTGCAGTCAGGACCCAGGAGGATAAAAGATGGGGGATATATTTTTCAAGTCAGGCAGCATAGCCTTGCCTAGAGAGCCCAGGATCTCAGCCTGGGCTGAAACGCCTGCTCGAACCTCACGAATGAAAAGCAGTCTCTGTGAATAGAAGTGGAATCAACTGAGGGTCTGAGGACTCCTGTTCCAGTGCTCCTCTCTCAACAGCAGCCTCAGGGAGACTCTACTTTGGCTATGGGCAACCAGTCTCTTGCCTAGATGTAGGGGGAAGTGACAGGCATGTTCAGGGTGGTATGGTTATAGACATTTGAGAATCTCTCTAGGCTGAGGACACACAGGCACAGAAAGCAGGTGTGTGGCTTCCAGGGCTGGCTAAGAACAGCGGGGCTTGGGGAGAGAATAACTGCTTAATAGTTTTAGGGTTTCATTTTAACTGTGTGGAATCAGATAGTAGTGGGGTGCTGGGATGTATACATTGTGAATGGAAATGCCACTGAATTGCTCATTTGAATAGTACATTTCATGTTATATAAATTTACCATGTATTTTTGCTCTGTGTGTATGAGAGAGAGAGAGAGAGAGAGAGAGAGAGAGAGAGAGAGAGAGAGAGAGAGAGAGAGAGAGAGAGAGAGAGAGACCACATGTGTGCAGGTACCCACAGGAGCCAGAAGAGGGTGTTGGATCGCGCTCCTGGAGCTGAAGTACAGACAGCTATTACCCACTGAACATGGGAGCTGGGATCTGAATTTGGTCCTCTGGAAGAGCAGCAAGCCCTCTTAAGCACTGAGCCATCTCTCTGGCTCCCCCATCTTTGCTTTTTTGGGACAAGGCTTTTACATTCAGATGGATGACCTTGACCTTGTAACCCTTACATGTATCAGCCACTATACAGGTTTATGTGCTGCTGAGGATCTAACCCAGGGCTTCATGCACACTAAGTAAGCCTTCTACCAACTGAACTACATCCCCAGCTTTCCTCTTGTATTTAACAAAAGATAATGGTACCTAGAAGTCCCAAAATTAGAGAAAGGAGTAGGGATAGCAAGTACACAGGAGGATGCTACAGAAATGAGTTCGAGGTTGTGAGGAGGCTGGAAGGGATATTTCTCCATGGTAGGGAGGAAGCTGGATGTTGCAGGTAGAGGAAGCTGAGTTCCGTCCTCTGGACCAGGCTAATAGGCTGTAAGGAGAACCCCAGATGTCTGCTTCCCCTCCCTGACTGGAAGCTCCTGGTGGGTGGGGGCAGGGACCTCACCCCTTTCTGTTTCATTTCCAGAGTAACATCACAGGGTTCTCTTAAAAAAAACAAAAAAACAAAAACAAAACCCTGGCACCGATGGAATGAGATCGAACATGTTAAGCAGCAGCAGATTAGCCACTGCCCACACCAGAGAAGTCAGACTGGCACTCACCACCTCCAGGCACTGGGGAGACCTCCCAAGACCAGAGTGCCTGCCCAGAACCCTTGGTAGCTCAGCAGACCCAGAGGGCAGCGCCCCCTAGTTTGGGGTGGGGGAAGGGACTGAGGGAGCACCATGGGCTCCTTTGTCAGACCCAGGAAGGAGAGAGGGGGCAGCTACAGGAAGTAGGGGGTGGGAAGCTCCCTCCGGAATCTATCCCCCCCCACCTCCTCCCCTCCTCACTTGCACAGATCTTGCACATGCTCAGTGTGCCCATGAATTGGGTTGGCTGGGGGAGGGCACTGGCTGGCACCCCCACTTAAAGGGCCAGTGCCAAGCTTGCTGTTCTCAAGAGGGACAACAGAACCAGCTGCTCTGCCATTCTGAGTTCCTTCCTTACATCCACGATGCTTCATCTAGACCCACCCCATCACCTCTGCCCATTTTACTACCTTTCAGAATTGATTCCACTGCAGAAAGGGTCTGCCTATGGGGTACTGGAATTGCCACCTGGGATCAGAGAGTCCCTGAGAGAGGAGAGAGAGAGATCCGGCTAGGCAGACAAGCAGGCATGGAGGGATGCTTCCACAGTCAGTCCCATGAAGGAACTGCTTTGCAGGCCTCTCCTGGCCCAGTAATCAAGAGGTCAGGGGGAAGTAAGGCACTGAAAACTGGCTTTTGTTCTGAAAGCCAGTTTTCCCAGGTGTGGCGGTGAGGAAGTAGCCTTTGCTGTACACTGCGATAGAGTCCAGGCCTCCAGACCTGGCTGCCAAGGAGAACAGCAGAAGAGGAGAAGGGGGGGGGGGCATATGAAGGGGACTCACACCTGGCCTCCATCTTTCCCTAGTACTGAGTTCTCAAGATGGCTTCCTCGTCTAACACTGCTGACCCTGAGACTGGGGGACCAGCTGGAGGCCAGAGTTGATGTGACTTTCCTCACGCCTGACCCTTTCCCAGATCACACCCTTGCTTTGTTTTCTTCTTGCTCCACCCTGTCCATTGTCATCCCCCCCCAAAACACACACACACACACACACACACACACACACACACTCTGCTAGCTGCTAGCCTTGGGGAAACTAATTCACCTCTGTGCTATCCCGGCCAAGAGCCTTCCAGCCATTTTGTGTGTATGTGAGGGGGTGGAGGTGGCTGGCAGCTTTCCTGCCTTCCTCACAGCTCTTCAGCTCAGACCAAGAGGGGCCAGCCTCTTCACCTGCCCTTTGCCCAGCCACTTGCAATCATGCCACACATGGACCACCCTACACCTACACCCTGCTCCACAAACCTCCCCCACACACCAGTAGCCCTTTGGAATCTTCCCCTCCTTGTTTCACACACACACACACACACACACACACACACACACACACACACACACACACACACACACGGAGCGCCTCCTTGCCTCTGGGTAAACAACCTTGTCCTGGTCCTCCTTCAGCTCCTGGCTCCGTTCTGTGGAATGCAGCAGCTGGGAGGCTGCAGGCTTTGGGACCCAGGCTAGTGTACTGCAGGCCCCCCGGGCAAGCTATCCTGGAATCTGGACAGTCACTTCCTCTCTGAAACTTGGGTTTCCCATTTGCAAAGTGGGGGCGATCATTCCCGCCAACTGTCTGGGAATACAAGAAAAGGAGGCAAAACCTTTGACCAGGATTCTGGGGACAGATCCCTCAGCCTGGAGCTTCGCTTTCCCTTGAAACCAATTCCTCCCTCCAGTCTGGTGTAGAAGGTGCTGGCCAGGCCTGGGTGTGGCGGTACAGAAATAAAAGTTGTCCTGGCCATACACAGGGTTTGTCAACATTTCCATCCTAACAGCTCCCAGCCCTGAGCCCTTCCCTTGGCCAATGGGGTCGTTCCAAACCTCTGGAAGGGAAAGGAGGCTAGGTCCTCGAGGTCTCTGCTCCTCTCTGTGCCCGGTGCCTGAGACAGGGACTCACTGGTGAGCTCAATTCCCCGGTCACCACTGAAGTCATCCTCAGCACCAGTACCAGGGATGGTACCCGCCGGAGGTGGGGAGCACATTGCATTCTCTACACTGACCCCCCTCCCACTCCATCGTGGAGTCCGGCCTATAGCTCATACTTCACAGGGAACTGATCACACACTTAATTAGGCCAACAGGAGGAGGATGCCAAGGGAGACAGCAGGAAGGCTCTACAGACAAGCTCAGCTAAGGATCCACTTCCTGTCCCCTCTACCTTACGGCTTTATCTGCCAGCAGTGGATCTTGGGTGCTTATTTCTAAGTGTCCCTCCCAGAGGTAAGGGGATGAACTCTAATGACTAGCTTAGGCTGGAAGCCAGGGTGAGGGACTGTCAAGATCAAGGAGGCTCAGCCCTCTGAACTGTGGTGGGGGAACCTGGGAACAAGGTCTGAACAAACTCCAGGCTTGAGCTTTCTTCTCCCAGGGAGGCTTCCAGCTCCTCCAGGAGGGTCTCATTCTGTAGCACAGGCTGGCTTCAAACTTGTGATCCTCCTGCCTGAAGGCTGGAATTCCAGGCATTGTTCCCAGTCCCGCTATCATGCGGCAACTGAAATATCAGGTTCTGGCTGAACCTGGGGGCTCCTGACTGAGCTCCCCCTCACCTGCCCCCAACCTCTAACCCCTCAGGATGATTGCTCCAAGACTCGCGAGTGTACTTTGGGTATCCTGGAGAACTAATGGGAACCCATCTAGGAGCTGGCTGTCTCTTCAGGCTTGGACAAGGGGAAACTGAGACTTCTCTGGGACTGGGTTTACTCCATGCTTCCAGAATGCTAGGCAAATATATTACCACCACTAACCTATATCCCCAGACCACAAGTCTTTTGGTTTGTTGTTTCTTTTTTTTTAGGATTTTGTACTTATGTGTTTATATGTGTATATGCACGTACATTCATGTGTGTATGTGTGACAGAGGTCAGAAGCCGGCATTAGATCCTCTGGAGCTGGAGTTACAGACAGTTGTGAGTCATCTATAGATGCAGGGAACCAAATTCCAGTCCTCTAAAAGAACAGTGAGGTCTCTTAACCACTGACTCACCATCTCTTCAGCCTCAACGGAAGGATTTTGGCTGGGGTGTGCTTCAGTTGGTAGAGTTCTTGCTTAGCATGCGTTGGATGCACAGCCCAGCCAAAACCAGGCATAGAGGTGCACATCTGTTATCTCCGAACTCGGGAGGTGAATACAGAAGGATTAGAAGTTCAAGGCCGGCCTCAGCTATGAAACTCTTCCAGAATACAAACAAACAAACTCCAGAAAATGAAGAGGGCTGGAGGGATGGCTCAGTGGTTAAGAGCACGCACTGCTCTTCTAGAGACCCAGGTTCAGTTCCCAGCACCCACATGGCAACTCACAACTGTTTGTAACCCCAGTCCCAAGGGGATCCAATGCCCTTTCCTTGCCTCCACTGGCACTGCACACATGTGTTGTGCAGCCATACATGCAAGCAAAACACCCACACATAAAAATAAGTTTTTTTAAATACAAAGGAATTTTGAGTCTCAAGAACAGCCCTAGTGAAATCAATTCTAGCCACCCCCACTGGTTCTCACAAGGTCATTTAATTCCTCTGTAAAAGGTAAGATGACATCAGAGACCCAATCATGGAGATGACAAGAGGAAACTCTGACCTGTCTTAGAAGTTCTCAGTGGAGGGAGGGGTGCGGGGAGTAGCTTTCATCTGTCACCTGCCTCCCTGCGACCCAGCTGGCCTGCCTGGGTATGAAATGGGGCCTCATCCTTGGGCCTGGGGGTCCCTTCTGTGGCTGGCTTCTCCTGGTCACAGCAGCTGCTATCTCGGTTCCACATCTCGTTCTCCTGCCGAAGCCTCTGGTTTTCAGTCCGGAGCCTCTCCACCTCAGCGGCCAGCTCTTCCACCTGTTGGCAGGGTTGCCTGCTAGGGCGCCCCTGCAGCTGCTGGAGCCTCCGAGTTTCTTGCTCGGCCTGCGACAGCCGCCTCTCTAGATCCAGGTAGTCTCGCACCAGCTCCTGCTTGCTGCGGCCCTGCAGGCTCTCAGTGTGGTACCGCTCATAGGCCTCCGAGAAGTCCCTCTGCTGAAACTCCCCATGCGCTCGGCCCTGCCCATCGCTGTCCCCTGCCTCATTCTCCCCACTGGAGCCTGGGTGCGAAGGCCCGTGGAGCACATCCAAGTCAGGCTCCTCCAGGTCTCGGTCGTTCATGAGGAACTGGGTGGTGTTGTAGGGAGCCAGGGGCTGGCCTTTGGCGAACATCTCCTCGCGGACCCGGGAGGCCCTCTGGCTCTGCCTCTCATCTCGCTGCTGCTTCTCAGCCCAGCTCAGCTCCAGGTAAGGCCGCCAATGCCGCTTCCGCTTTGACGGCCGCCTGCGGTGCTTCTTTCGGGCCAGCACCGCCTCCACCGAACAGGGCCGGGGGCTCTGGGTCCGAGAACCCCTACTGCGACAACCTGAGCCACCCCCAGCTGGAGCAACACCTTCATCCTCCGAGTCAATCTCCTTTCCTGATGGCAGAAGCAGGGGACCACCAAAGTCATGAGGCTCAGTGGCTATCTGGGGGCTCGGCAGACCACCAGAGGTCTAGAGAGAGGAAGGAGGGTGAGTCACGTCAGGGAGGGCCTTTCCCTGGGAGGAGAATCCTTCCCAGCCCACCCAGCCCTCTTCTCACACCTGCCTCAAGTGGTCACTCTCCAGTCCCTCACCCTTTTACAATTTACTTAGTTAACCATCTTCCAGTGACTACTTCACCGTCACCGGTCAGTTCTTTTTCCTTTTTCTTTTTGACATAGCATCTCCATAGACCAGGTTGGCTTTGAACTCATTTGTGCAACCAAAATGAGCTCGAACTTCTGATCTTCTTGCCTCCACCTCCCAAATGCTGGGTTATAGACATATGCCACTAAGCCTGGTTTATGCAGTGCTGGAGATCAAATCCCAGGTTTCATGCCTGCTGGGTAGCCGTGAACTGAGCTATCCCCCTCCAGTTCATCACTGCCCATTTAAATGTCCAGAACCACACCAGACCTAGAGCAGGCATTCCACAAGGACTATTCAAATGAAAGCTAGGAAAGCTAGAGGTGGTAGCCTACACCTGTAAATCCCAGCAGGAGGGTGGATGAAGCCAGGAGGATCAGGACCTCAAGCCAGGCTCAGGGACAGCCTGGGCTACCTCAACACCTTCACAGCTACCCCCATTCAGAGGGATTTGTACTTGGTTTAATGCTCTGCTATCCTTGGAACTGAGGTCTTCCTAGTGCAACCCAGGCTAGCCTCAAACTCACCATCCTCCTGCCTCAGCCTCACAGGTAGCTGGGATTAGTAGCAGGCACATGACACTATAACTAGCTGTGAACTCAATAACTTTGTTGCAGCCAGAGCCCCGGACATGCTCGGCAGGAGCAATGTCACTCAGCTACATTCTTAACCCTTTACCTTTCGTTTTGAAATCGAGTCGCACTAAGTTTTCCAGGCTGACCTTGAACTCGTTCTGTTCCCAGGCAAGTCCTGAATTTACATATAATCCACCTGCCTCAGCCTCCAGAGTAGCTAGGATTATAAGCCTGTGTTACCAGGCCAGGGTTTGAACTTGCTAACTTTTGAAAAGGGATTCCCTGCCCCCTCCCCGAAAACTATAGAACTAAACCTGCTTCCAGCTCTTTGCACAGCTGATCCTTCCTATTCCCTGTTTCAGTTCTACTGCCGACTGTGAAGTGATGCTCCCCATGAAGACCCTATGGAAACTGCCCGCCTCCCTCCCCCCCCTCCCCTCCCCAGCTACTCTATCATGTCACACAGGTAACAACACAGATAGCACCTAGCATATTACCATTTACTGGATATCTTCATCCCCTGAGAATGTGCCATTTTGTCCCTATGCTCAGTAAATATGAGTTTGTTTCTCTCTGTATGTGAGAAGCAGCAAAAGGCCCTAAACAAGGAGAGGTTGCGAGGAGATTCTGGAACTTTGAAGAGGTAGAGAAAGCATCTGTCAATCCCAGCACTTCTGGACAGAGCCAGTAGATCCCTCAGTCTGAAGCCAGCCTGTCAAGTTTGAGGCCAGCCAGGGCTATACAAGGAGACCTTGGGAGAGGGGAGGGGGAGGGAAGAAGAGCTTACACAAAGGCATCTGCTTATCTGTGTGGTGAGGGTGGGAGTCCTGGGTGTCCGGGATAGGGAACAAATTACTCTAAGTTTGTGGTTTAGGAGATTTCTAATAATAACCACAGTCATTGGCATGCTGTTTTATACAGTACAAATGGCATCTGAGCAGGGGTTCCTTTTTAAAGTTTTGTTACATTTACTTACTTTGTGTGTGTACAGACACACTCTAACGACATGGCTGGAGTGTATGTATGCATGTGTTTGTGTGCAGGTCAGAAGATAATACGGGAGTTGGTTTCCCCTTCCTACCGTGTAGATCCTGGGGTTGAACTCAGGTTGTCAGGCTTGGTGCAAGTATTTTACCTGTTAAGCCGTCTTGCTGGCCTCTGAGTAGGGGATTTTAGGGTTTACACTGGGGGACAAACTATTTGCAGCCTTTTAAGAGCAAGGGTATAGTATATGAATATATACAGGTGTTGATGGATTGTTTGTGGGGGAGGGTTGTTTGGGAAGCAGTCTCACTTGGTAGCCCAGGATAGTCTGGAACTCATTCTGTAGCCCAATCTGGTCTCCAAGCCTCAGCGTTCCTGCCCCAACCTCCTGAGTGCTGGGATTACACGTAGGAAGCGTCATGCTGCCTGTCTTACTATATGGTTTAAAGATCCTAAGGGGATTTCTCGGGGGTGGAGATATGTTGTGAATTGTTTCTTGTGTTCCTTCACCTGCAGGAAGATCACCAATCATAAGTGACTGGCCTCGTCCCACAGGTGGCTTGGGCCAACTAACATGGATCTGTTGCCCATCCTAGAGAGACGAAGTACTGGACATACAAATACAGGATGGCTTATTTGTATGCTCACAATCATTTACCTGTTCCCAGCCCTCAGTCCCCTAGTGATTCTTGCCCCAAACCAGCTCTGTGTCTCAGCTTAACCTGTTGTCTCCATGCTGTCCCTCTACCGCCAATATCACTGTTTAAAATAACCTCTGTAACCTGCCTGAGTCACCCTCTCGTCCTCCCTGAACCTTCCAGCCTTGACATGCCATGAATTTCAAAGTCTAAGAAATCCTGGAAATGGCTAGGTAGGATGGGTCAAAAGCTTCTCTGAGCCAGACATTGTGACACACACATATAATGCCAGCACTTGGGAGGTGGAGGCAAGCAAATCTGAGTTCCAGGGCAGCCTGGTTTACAAAACCAGTTCCAGGACAGCCAAGGCTGTTACATAGAGAAACCCTGTCTCAATAACAAACCAAACAAACCGACAGCGAGCTACAAAGGGCTAAGACGTAGCTTAGGGATAAAGCACTTTTCTAGCATTTGCAAGGTCCTGGGTTCAATCCCAGCAATGCAAAACCCACAACAACAAAACAACTCTCTGAGTCTCGCCTCTTTACATTTTGGAAGCGTGGGTAATGAGAGAATGGGTAAAGGGGTTAATGAGAGAAGGGCATGAGCTGGGGCCCTGTGGGCTCCTGTCCAGCCCACAAGGTGCCATTTCCTGGGGGCTTTAGGATCTTTCTCTCCTCTGAGTTTTTCCTGCCTACCCCTCACCCCCTTTAGACCAAAAACTCTTTTCCTGTTTCATTCTTGGTTCTCAGCCTGGAAAAAGAAAAGTGAAAATATACAACCAAGTTATTTGACCTTGAAGTGACTTGTCATTAAGTGAGAGGCAAGGTTCTCTGACCAGAAGACACTGAGTTTAAACTGGAATTTTGTTACTTATAGGCTGCACGACTCTGGAAAAGTTATTGCAGCCCTCAGAGCCTTAGTTTCTGACAATCGGAAGCGATTCCTACCTTGAAGGGCTTTTAGGAATTCATGAGATACCACTGAGTCACATTCTGGCCTACTTCCCAGAGCTCAGTGCAAGACTCATTTAAAACACTGGCTTTCTAGTTGGGTGTGGTGGTGCAGGTTGTAATTTCAGCACTGGTAAGGCTAAAGCAAGAGTGTTGCTGCAAGTTCGAGGCCAGCTGGGGACACATAGAAAGACCCACCCCCACATCACAAACAACAGAAATAAAATAAAAGATACCGGTTTTCTAAATCTACCAGCACATTTGAAACAAAAAAAAACCCTAAGATTTTAGCTGTTTAACCCTAAGATTTTAGCTGTGTGACCCCATGTTTAGGGTTCTCAGATGGCTGGGAGGGGTGGGTACTTACCTTCGCCTTCTCCAGGGCTGCTGGTGACTCTGTGTTAGAGCTGGTATGGTTCAGAGTGGCCATCTTCTCCTACTCTTTCAGTAGATGCTTCTAACTAGTATCACCTGCTTTGAACAACAACAGAAACCTAAGTCCTCGGGCAGAATCTGGTTGGTCAGGAATTGCTTGCCCTAGCAGCAGCAGCAGCAGCCATTTTGTGGCCCCAGACCTGCTCGCCCTCGCTTTCAAAGGCAGGCCCCGAAGGCTGCTTCCATACCCTAGTTTTCACACCTCTAGCCAGCAAAGGGTCAAATGGGACAGGGAGACCATCTCCCTAATCCTGTTCCTCGGGCCCCAGGCCTCCATTCTCCTAACAAGTGAAGACCAGGCTGGCAGTTAGGAAGGCAGGCCTAAGTTTTTCCCCCTCGACAGTGAGGTAGAAACTGCTTGGGGAAGCCGGGGACAGGGTGAGTCTGCGGCTCCTGGAAGCCCCTGTCTTGACCGCCTTCAACCTCTCCAGGCTGGGACCCGGACAGAAGCTACAGTTAAAGTCTTTTTGTCTACAGGGCCTGGATGGCTACCCTCCTGCCTCAAGGGACGGGGAAATGGAGGAAAGAAGTCTTCATACTCCATGCAGCTGACAGGGAAAACATGGATTTCTTGGAAGAGGAGAAATAGTCATGGAGGGAGGTTTTAGCAAAGGTGGGACTGACCTATTTGCTGTCAAGGGCTTAGTGTACACCACTACCTCTGTGTGTCTTTCTGTGCGACCGCCTGTCCATGAAATTCTCAACGCCTCAGCCCTACCTCTTGCTGCAGTAGCAGCAGCTCTGGCCAAGCCGCTCAGGCACTAAGATGGGGGGAGATGGGGCGGGGGGGGGGGGGAGGGGGGGGAGGCGGACGAAGAGGACAGCCTGGCAGCGCAATGACTGCTGGGGGTTGTAGTTCTTCCACGCTAGGAACGCTGCCCAGGATACCTTCAAGCTCCCTTACGTCAATAACCAGACCCAGGAACGCCCAAACCTATCTGCTTTTGCGTGAAACCTCCCGCGCTCACCAGTCTCTCCTTTGATTGGGTCACCTGTCTGTCAATCTTCTCACTTTTGTCAACAACTAGCCGTGCGGAAGCACAACTAGACCCGCCCTGCCAGAACTCAATTAAAGAGTTCATTGATGGCGTTAGTCTCCACCAGGAAGAAAAATAGGTCCGGCGGGGAGGGGCGGGGCCTGCGCGCGGAGTGATCCCTAGCTTTGAGGAAGGCGACGAGCAGCTCGGTGGCCGCCGCCGCCGCCATTTTGGGCTGGGAGGAGGCAGCGGAGGGACTCGCTGCGCAGTGAGAGCACCCCATGGGGGGTGGTCCGGGCGCGGGGAGAGGCCGGGCCGAGTGGGCTGCCCGAAGTGGCGGCTCCGGGAGACGGCGGGGAGACGGGTCGGGGGCCGGGGAGGGTGAAGGTTGGTGTCTCCCCGGCCGAGCCCAGTCCTCAAACCGTCCCGGCAGCCCCGCTGCCCCGCAGCCCCGCAGCCCCGCCTGTGAGAGCGGGGCTTTTGGGTCATTACCGCGTATTTCCCGTGATCCCAGCAGAGGAGAGGCCAATAAGACGGCTTCCCCTTTGCTGTGCTTCCACCGGGCCGCGGGTCCTGAGGCCGAGCTCTGCCAAGGCCTCTCCCCACCCCCACGCATTCTGGGTATGGCTGCCAGGCCCGGCGTAGCTAGACCCCCGTCTGAAGGACGAGGTGGGCGCGACGCCAGTTGGAGACACTGGCTCGCAGGGACCGGCCGAGGTTGCCGCTCTGGCCGCACGTCCTCAGCGGTGCTGGTCAGCTGGAGGCTCGGAGGGCGCCCGGCCGGATTGCACCCACCTCTCCCCACCCCCATACACCAAGTCCATCCCACCTCTCGGGGCCGCGAAAAGCAACAGCCCTCTAACTACTATAGCAACCACCACCTCCCCTGGGACCAACTCGATCCGGGCACGTGGAAAGCTCGGGCTCAGTGCTTGGAAATCTCTTGAGCTCCCTTGCCCTCAAGATTTCTCCCATCGAGCCCCATACTCCCCCCCCGATGGCCTGATCTCGAACGTCACCAGCCACTTTTGGAAACTTCTAAAGTGTGCTGGCCCACTTCAAAATTTTACAACAAAGGGATGGGGTTCTGCCCTTGGCAGGGTTGGAACAGAAAATAATTCAGAGTCACCACGGTCCAGTAATAGAAATGGAGTGGCCCATTTCGGATGCTTCAAAAACATCTGTTTGCGTTTTGAAATCCGAGCTGTAACTTATGGGCGAAATGGCTGTGCTACAAGGGAAAAGCGAGCTAATTCCAGTGTGATCTTTGTAAGCCTACACAATGTCCCGTTGACAGTCTTGTTCCACAAACTAAAGAGTGTTTTCTGTGCCAATGTTCCATTGTTACTAGAGGCATACATATCTCCTGTGGATGTAGAAGGTACTTAAGTAGAAAGGGCAGTTTTGATATACTTTATGTATGTGGTATATAGAATTTAGGGGAGACATTTCTTTGAAAGAATAAACTTAAAATTATAGCAGTGCCAGCATTTAAACGACTGGCATTTGATGTGATGTTCTCTTACTGAGTCACAGATTCCTAGAGCTTTCCAGGCTACACCTTCAAATGATAGTTTTGTAGTTCAGCTGTCAGTTAAAACTGTGTCCAGGTAGGCTCTGGAGTAGGTGGCTAACTAGGCATTGGTATCTGTGGGCACCCTGTAATGAATTTTACTAGTTATAGAAGGTCTCATTCCTAGGCCTTTGCTTTAACAGTAGGACCCATGAAAGTTTCTTCAAAGTTGAAGGACTGCTCCCTGTATTAATAAAAAAGTCTTTCTGGCTGGGTGTGGTGGATCTCTTACAAATTCGAGGCCAGCCTGGTCTACATAGAGAGTTCCAGGCCTGCCAGGGCTACATAGTGAGACTCATTTCAAAATAAAAAGGTCTTATGTGATGACTTCATAGTTGAAACTAATTTCTTCCTGTGTCCCTCAGATGCTTTGAAGGAAAAAAAATCTTACAACCAAAAACTAGCGTTCTTTTGGTTTTTTGAGATGTCTTACTCTAGCCCAGACTGGACTCAAACTCAGGGTATTCCTCCTGCCTCAACTACATGAGTGCTGGAATTACAGGTGTGAGCTACTATACCAGGCTGTTTTTCCCCTTGCACTTTTGAAACAGTTTCAGATAGCCCAGACTGACCCTGAACTCCTTGTGTAGTTTAAGCTGGCCTTGAACTTCCTTCCTCCACTTCCCAAGTTCTTGGATTATAGGCATGTGCCGCCACACCCAATATTATTTACTTTCTTTGTGTGTGTTCATGCACACATGTGGAGGTCAGAATTTGTGGCAGTCAGTTTTTCCATCACCTGTGTTCCTAGGGTGAGAACTCCTGTTGTCAGACTTGGCAGCAAGGGCCTCCTAATGGGTCTGTCTGCAGGGTTTTATTACTATTGTTGTTATTGTGGTTGTTTGCTTGTTTTTTTCAGACAGGGTCTCTATTTAGCCCAAGTTGGCCTGGAGCCATCTGTTTGAGCCCCTCAAGTGTTCCCAGGTGTACACCACTGCTTCAGTTGTGATTTAAGATTAAGACAGGGTCTCCTGGAGCCCTGCTGGCCTGGAACTCTTTGTAGCCAAGAATGACCTTTGAACTCCTGATCATCCTGCCTGCACTTCTGAGTGCTAAAATTACAGGAGTGTACCGTCATATACAATTTATGTGGTATTGGGGATTGAACCCAGAGCTTTGTGCATTCTAGGCAATCATACTTCCAACTGAGCTTTATCCCCAGCCCCCATTAGAGTTCTTAATTCAAAATGTGAACTACATTTTTTTTTTGAGACATGGCCGTATTCTGTAGCCCAGGCTGACCAGGCTGACCTAGACCTCATTTCATAGACTTAAGTTAACTTTTTTTTTTTTAATGTTGTATCAGGAGAAACAACATTTTATTTGTTTGTTTATTTATTTATTTATTTATTTATTTATTTGGTTTTTCGAGACAGAGTTTCTCTGTGTAGCTTTGCTTTGCACCTGTCCTGGATCTCACTCTGTAGACCAGGCTGGCCTCGAACTCACAAAGATCCACCTGGCTCTGTTCAGTGGCCTTAAATTCATAGCAGCCCACTTGCCTTAGCTAGGGTTCCAGGTATCAGCCAAGTAGCTAAACACCTGTTTAAGAACTCACTGAAGCATCAGTGTACTGTCCATCCTGTAGTTCCATCTGTAATGTTCACTTTACCCTGATCAAGAAAAGATGAAGAGCCTGGTATGGTGGCTCATGCTAATCCCAGCACTTGGGAGGCAGAGGCAGGAGGAATACCCACAAATTGGAGGCTAACCTTGGCTATAGTTTTAGACTGTCTCCAAAAGAAAAAAGGAAGCCAGGCGCTGGTGGCGCACACCTTTGATCCCAGCACTCTGGAGGCAGAGGCAGGCAGATCTCTGTGAGTTCGAGGCCAGCCTGGTCTACAGATTGAGTTCCAAGACAGCTAGGGCTGTTACATAGAGACACCCTGTCTGGAACCCCCACCTCCAAAAAAATGAGGATGTAGTTCAGTGGAGGAGCATTTAGCTTAGCATGCACAGGAACAGAGAGTTGGAGTGGGGGATGGGTTAGAGAAAGATGGCATGAACTTGGTAGGAGTCTAGTCATAGGAGCTGAAAGGGGGCTTCGAGGTTATCTGTGGTTCTTTTGTCAAGAGTCTATTGGAGGAGGCCCCTAGACTCCTGTGATTCATCCTCCATTGTGAAGCAATCTAGTTAAACCTTTAGATGCTACTAAATGGCAATACTATACCAGGTGCAGAAATGTGTTACTCATTTATAGTTGAAGGCTTAACCGTACTTAAGGATGACACATGAGCTTTTCCATTCCTTGATTTTAAATAGTTGGGAATAGCTGGGAGTGGTGACTCATGCCTGTAATCCTTATACTCAGGAGGCTGAGGTAGGTGATTGTCATATTGGACACCATTCTGAGCTACAGTGAGACCCTATCTTAACAAACAGTGAGAGGGAGAGACAGCTCTGCCTTTAAAGTATGTAAGCATGAAGACCTGAGTTCAGTCCCCAGAACCCAAGTAAAACAAGTTGCTAGGGGCCTGGAGCAATGCTCAGTAGTCATGAGCACTTACTTCTCTTAGTGGACTGGGGCTTCAGTTCCAGGGCCCTTCTCTGACCTCCCTGGGTACTAGGCATGCATGTGGAGCAAATACATTCATGCACACAAACACTCATAGACAAAAGAAAGATGCCAGGTGTGGTGGCCCATTTTTTTAATCCCAGCATTTTGAAGGCACAGGCAGGCTGAACTCTTCTCTGCCCCGCCAAGACAGGGTTTCTCTCTCTAACTTTGGAGCCTGTCCTGGAACTTGCTCTGTAAACCAGGCTGGCCTCGAACTCATAGAGATCCCCCTGCCTCTGCCTCCTGGGTGCTGGGATTAAAGGTGTGCATTACCACCGCCCATCTTTAGGCTAATCTCTTGAGTTTGAGGCTAGCCTGGTCTACAAAGCAAGTTCAAGAACAGCTATGGCTACACAGAAGAAACCCAACTGGGAGTGGGGGATGCTAGAGAGGCAGGATCTCTGGTGTTTGCTGACCAGGCAAACCTGAGTGTACTTGGCTAGTTACAGACCAATAAGAAACCTTGTCTCAACTAAGTAAATAAGAATATGTCTGTGGGAGATAGCACCAAAGGTTGCCCTCTGGACTCCGTGTGCATGTGTATTCACGTGCCCACACGCATGTACCTGCATACACATACACAAAGTGAATACAGACAGTTCTCAGATAGAGCAGGTGAGGCTCATGAAGATCCTAAATGCCTCAGGCTCCTAATTTGAAATGGCAAACATATCTTCCCTCCCAGGCGCTGCTAGTGACCACTCCTCTGTACCTGTGCAGACATCCCTTTCTGCTTCCGAAATAGCTTCTTCCGAAGCTCTGGGGGTCTGGGAATGGAGCTCTGATGGTAGAGTGCTTGCCTAGCACACACGAGCCCCTGTCCTTCCCCTCCCGACCAATAAACTTATTAGCACATATATAAGACCTGCCTTACCAATATATGGCTGTGGCGTACACCTAAGGGAAGCCATCTAAGGAAACTGAGTAGGGTCAGTGTCTCATGGCACCAAAGCAGTTGTCACTATAAAGTAATTGACATTTTATATTTACCTGACTGGCCAACTCCTAGAGACCAGTCACGCTATAGGATTCATAGGCAGAAGTGGAAATGCTTCTCCAAATTACTCCTAGTTACCGATACTTGCTTCTGAAGAAGATACTTGCTTCTGAAATATTTATGCTTCTGTGTGTACTTCCCATGATCCACCCTTCCATCCATCCATCCTTTTTTGTTTGTTTTTGAGACAGGGTCTCTCTGCATAGCCCTGGTTATCCTGGAATTCAATGTGTAGACCAGGCTGGCTATGAACTTAATACGTAGCCAAAGCTGAACTTGAAGTCTCCGTTCTTGCCCTGCCTTCCTGAGTGTTTGAGTTCCATGTGTACCACCATGTGGTTTTTTTCTCTTTTCAGATTGTTTGAATGTTACTAGGCTAAGTGTACATTATTAAGAACTAAACGGAAGATGTTCCTTCCAGTCCCCAATTTGATATCTTGCTTTTGCCTGAAAGTTGTATTGGCATTTTCCAGAGATGCAGAATTACATGTTTAACGTATCCTCCGGGGGCTGGAGAGGTGGCCTCAGTGGTGAAGAGTACAAAGTGCTCTTTTAGGGGGCCCAAGTTCATTTCCCAGCATCCACATCAGGTGGCTTACAACTGTTTGTCCTCTGTCTCCAGGGAATCCAACACCTCTGGCCACTAAGAGCACTTGTACTCATGTTCACACACCCCTACACACAGACACATGATTAAAAATAATAAAATCTTAAAAGAAGGCTTCAGAACTCCATTAATTTCCTCCTGTAGCCTTCTGGAGGCTAGAGCAAGTTCTGTTCATTACCTTATTGGAGAGGTGTTGGTCATTTCCCTCATATATGGAAATATTCTGTTCCCCAAAATACTGTGCACCCTAATAAACTTATCTGGGGTCAGAGACAGAACAGCCACTAGACACAAAGGCTAGAAAATGGTGGCACTCACACCTTTAATCCTAGCACTCCAGAGGCAGAAATTCATCTGGTATCTCTGTGAGTTCAAGGCCACATTAGAAACAGCTAGGCATGGTGACACATGCCTTTAATCCCAGGGAGTGGTGGTAGAAAGCAGAAAGATATATAAGGCATGAGGACCAGAAACTGGAAGCATTTGGCTGGTTAAGCTTTCAGGCTTCTAGCAGCACAGTTCAGCTGAGAGCCATTCGGATATGAGGACACAGAGGCTTCCAGTCTGAGGAAACAAGATCAGCTGAGGAGTTGGCCAGGTGAGGTTAGCTGTGGCTTGTTCTATCTCTCTGACCATCCAGTGTTCACCCCAATAACTGGCCCCGGGTTTGATTTTATTAATAAGAACTTTTAAGATTCATGCTACACTCATATTCTTATATATTTGAAGTACCCCAAAATTCTTACATTTTGCTTCATTGTAGAAGAGTTTTTTGGTTGGTTGGTTTCGTTTTGCCTTTTATTTTGTTTTTTCAAGACAGGATCTCACTATGTAGCCTTGGCTGTCCTGGAACTCACTCTGTAGATCAGGCTGGCCTTGAACTCAGAGATCCACCTGCCTCTGCCTCCCAGTGCCATGGTTTTAAGACAAGGTCTCACTATGTAGCCCTGTCTGGCATGGATCACAGAGATTTGCCTGCCTCTTCCAAGTGGCTGGGATTCAGGAATGTAGATTTTGTTCATTGCAGACCAGTAGCCGTGTGTATGTGCTGGGGAGATGAGTTAGTGGTTAAGAGCTCTTGCAGAGGACCCCGGGTCAGTTCCTAGCACCCACACAGTGGCTCATAACTGTGTGGGACTCCAGTTCCAGGTGATCCAACACACTCTTGACCTCCACCAGGCATGCACATGGTGCATACACATAAATGTAGGTAAAGCACTCATAAATTAAAATTTCAAAAATAGAGATGGGCTTGGTGGAGCATACCTTTAATTCTAGCACTCAAGAGTCAGAGGCAAGTATATCTGAGATTTCAAGGCCAATTTGGTCTACATATTGAGGTCCAAGCTTGTCAAAGCTATATAGTGAGACCTATCTCAAACAAAAAGGGACAGGGGCTAGATGTGGTGTCAGACAGCTGTAATTCTAATTCAAGGCCAGCTGTGGCTACAGAGTGAGTTTGAAGCCAGCTTCGGTAGCACGAGATCGTGTCACAGCAGAACTAGATTATATATATATGTATATGTATATATGTATGTATATGTATATATATGTGTGTGTATATATATGTGTGTATATGTAGATATATGGATAGAGGTAGAGATAGGTAGATAGATGAGTATGTATGTATGTATATGACTTCTGAGGTGACCTTAAAATTCCCTTCTGAATTTTTACTTTGTGTGTGTGTGTGTGTGTGTGGTGTATGCATATGTGCGAATATGCATGCAGAGGCCATAGAGGTCAGGTGCCTTCCTCTTTTGCTTTACACCTTATCTTTTGAGACAGAATCTCACTGGTTGGCCAGCAAGCTCTGGGGAGTGAAAGTCAGGTTCTTATGTTTGAGGATCAACCACTTTATCACTGAGCCATCTCCCCAAACCCTGAATTTTTGCTATTCCTGAAGAAACAGTTTAAGGTAGGTGTGGTTTGTACTCCCAACACTTGGAAGGCCAAAGCAGGAGGATTGCTGAGAGATGTATGCACCATCTTATTCTTGTTCAGCACAGTGACTCTTTAAAAAAAAAAAATAAATAAAACCAGTAGCACTGCTTTTGGGAATTGGAAAAATCACACTAGATTTTCAAGACTTATCATTACCAGTGTCCTGTAGCAGCTCAGCCTTTTGAGTTTTGTTGATGTGGAAAGGTTTGTTGTAGAATCAGAGTTACTGTTCATGTTGTTAGATAATTTTTTCATAATTGAATCTCCTCTTTATAAGTAAAATTCAAGAAAAAATTTATTAAAGTAGTTTTGTTTTTCTGAGACAAAGTTTAGTGTAGACCAGGCTGACTTTAAACTAGGTAATTGAGGATGACCTTGAACTCCAGATCCTGCCTCCATTTACAATTCCAAGCACTTAAATTGAAGGTATACCACCACTATACCACCACGCCCTGTTTGTAGGTTGCTGGGAGTTCTAGGGACTGAACCCTGTATGTTCTACATACTGAACTAAACCCCCCAGCTCTTGGGACATTTATAAGAGCTAAGATAATTGATCTGTCTAAAACAGTCTTTGTTTCTTCAATAAGAACCCAAAGGTGCTGGGTATAGTGGCACATGCACTCGGGTGGCAGGTGGCAGGTGAATCTCTGTGAGCTCAGGCCTGCCTGGTCCACAGAGCAAGTTCCAGGACATCCAGGACTACACAGGGAACCCTGTCTCAAAAAAAAAAAAAGTTTTTCTGAGTTAGTTGTAATGTGTATACCAGTCTACTGGGGAGGCTGAGGTAGGACATGGCTGGAACCTAGGAATTGAGACCAACCTGGACAACATAATGAGACCTGGTCAAAATAAAATAAATTAATAAATAGCTGTGTGTGGTGGTGCTGCCTATAATCCCAGCACTCTGGAGACCTACAGAGAGGTGAATCACTGCAAGTTCAAGTATAGTTTGGTCTACATAGTGAGTTGTTTAGGCCAGAGCTACATAGCAACATCCTCTCCCAAAAAAACCAAATAAATAGGATTAAATTTGAAAATATTTCTGAGTGGTGGCACAAACCTCTTATCCCAGAGTTCAGTAGTCTAAGGCAGGGGAGTTACAAATTTGGCCTATATAGCAAGACTCTCAAAAATAAATGTAAATATTAGGGTCCAGTGAAATAATTCGGTGGCTTTCACTGACGGTGGCCTCCACCAAACCTGATGACCTAAGTTGGATCCTCAGGACTTGCATGGTAGAAGGACAGGACACCTGGTGTCCACAAATTGTCTTCTGACCTTCACTCGAACGGTGTGGCGTGCTTACACATACAAATAGGAGGCCTGGAGAGGTGGGTAAGTGCTTACTAGAACTTGCTGCTGTTGCTGAGGACCTAGGTTTGGTTCCCAGCACCCACATGCCAGCACACAACACCTGTATGTAATCTGGATCCGATACTTTCTTCTGGCCTCTGGACACCAGGCAGGCTTGTAGTGCACTTACATACATGCAGGCACACAGACACATAAAAATAAATCTTTCAAAAACAAAAACATTACATTACTTTTCATTTCTTACACACCAGAAATTTATATTTTTTGTGAGAGTATCGTGGAATTTTATTGCAGTCATGGTATGTAAATGTGCAGTTACTCCCTTCAAGAAAAGAGCCAGTGCTGAGTCTGCTGACTCATGCCTGTAATCTCAGCATTCAGAAGGCCGAGGCAGGATTGTCCTGGTTTTGAGGCTAGCCTCGGGAAAGAGTAAGACTGCATCTCACAATAGTGACAAAAGCCAGCCAGGCCATGGTGGTGCACACCTGTAATCCCAGCACTCGGGAGGCAGAGCTAGGTGGATCTCTGTGAGTTCGAGGCCAGCCTGGTCTACAGAGCAAGATCCAGGACAGGCACCAAAACTACACAGAGAAACCCTGTCTCAAACCCTCCCCCCCACCAAAAAAAAATAGTGACAAAAGCCCACAAATTCAAGTGCACTTCAGGACCTCCGTATAAGTACTTTTATCAATTATAGTCAGTTTTTGACCACATTGTGAATATTTGTCAAACATTAGGCATGTAAGTAGGTTAAGGCAACATATGTAGGTGTTTAGAATTACCTAGAGTTCTGTTTTGGTTTTTGTTTGTTTGTTTTTGAGACAGGGTTTTTCTATGTAGCCCTGGCTGTCCTAAAACTCACTTTGTAGACCAGGCTGGCCTTGAATTCATAGAGACCGCCTGCCTCTGCTGCCTGGCTGGGTTTTGGTTTTATTATGAACTCACAGACATCTTCCTGCCTCTGCCTCTGGAGTATGGAGTATTGGGATTAATGTTTGGTTTCATATAGCAATCATTTGATAAAAATTTTTTTTTTTTTTTTTTTTTTTTTGGTTTTTCGAGACAGGGTTTCTCTGTGTAGCTTTGCGCCTTTCCTGGAACTCACTTGGTAGTCCAGGCTGGCCTCGAACTCACAGAGATCTGCCTGGCTCTGCCTCCCGAGTGCTGGGATCAAAGGCGTGCGCCACCACCGCCCGGCTGATAAAATTTTTTAAAAGACAATATTTTTATTAATTTCATGCATGCATTCAGTGTTGTGATTTGATCAGTTTCCTCTAACTCCTCCCAGATCTACCATACCACCTCTCAATTATTGATTGATTGATTGATTTGTTGTAGCCTGCTGATTCCAGTTTGTACTCCCATTTGTACATCCATTGGGGCATGGTGGACCTGCTAGGTGCCACATCCCTAGACAAACAAACAAAAATTGCCAATCCTCCCTCCTCAGTATTGGGTGGAGGGGGGGTGTTGATCCCTTGTCTCTTTGTGCTGGAATGTTGACGCCTTGATTTTCTGAAGGTGCACTATTAGGTTGTAGGGTTTTTGTTCTGCTTTTAGATTCTGTGGAGTCCTTTTGTTTTTCTGCCTCCTGTGTCCCCAGACCTGGAGATCAAAACCAGAGTCTTGGTGCAGGCTAGGCAGGCACTCTGCCACTGAGCTGCAACAGCCCCAGCACAGTTTCTCTAACTTTGAAGTCATTAGGGTAAAGTATGGATTGGTTTTTGTTTTGATGATGCTGAGTATTGATCCCAGTGCTAGTCAAGTGCTCCAGCTGCTCTGTCACTGAACTGCATCACAAAGCCATGGTTTTAGGAGATAAGCTTCTACCATATAGCTCAGACTGGCTTCAGACTCTTCTATTTTCCAAGTGTTGGACTATAGGTGTGCAAATAATATACCTGGCTTTAAAGTGTGTTTATTCATATTTTCCCCAAGTGAAGGATTTTTTATTCTGGGTGAAGTGGAAAGTAAACCACTGATCAAATATGCAACTGTTGTGTTCTTGAGAGAGCCAATAACGATTGCTAGAATTGACAAGTGCAGGCCCCCACACCTGACTTTTTTATGTGGGTTCAGGGAACAAACTCAGGTTCTCAAGCTTTCATGGCAATCGGTTTACCAAGTTACTATGTTCCCTGCCCCCTCCCCCTTTTATTACTTTGAGACAGGGTCTCACATAGCCAGCCCAGGCTGGCCTAGAACTTGCTATGTAGAGGACAGTGACTTTGAACTTCTGATCTTCCTGTTTCTACTTCCTGAATGGTGGGATTACAGGCATGAGTACATGCCTGGGTTATCAAACTCAAGACCGTGTACACGATAGAGAACCACTGTGCCAACTGAACTACATTATATTCCCAGGCCATTATTTAAGGGAAAATCTAGCCGGGCGGTGGTGGCGCGCGCCTTTGATCCCAGCACTCGGGAGGCAGAGCCAGGCGGATCTCTGGAAGTTCGAGGCCAGCCTGGTTTACAAAGCGAGTTCCAGGAAAGGTGCAAAACTACACAGAGAAACCCTGTCTCGAAAAACCAAAAAAAAAAAAAAAAAAAAAAAAAGAAAATCTATTTTTCGGATCTAAATCACTCTTGAGTTCTCTGGGTCTGTCCCCTAAAACTCTGAAATCAAAAGGATTCTACCTCTTAGTGGTCTCTATGTTTTTGACTGGCCCAAGAAAAGTTCTGTCTGTCAGTCTGGGAAGCAATCTCCTCTCATTTACAGCCATAGTACAAGGAAAGGAACAAGCGGAAACTGTTCACTTGTAAGCCAGGTCTTCTGAGCAGCTGTTAAAATGCTTGGCAAAAGACTTGCATGGAAGGTTGGGGTGTGTGGGGGGTGGGGTGGAGGATCATTTGTCATCACAACCCTGTTACTACAGGCAACTCATCGTCTTCTCTGCTGGAAGAGCAATAGTCTCTGTTTCAATCTAGGAAGTTGATAGAAGAGTTTATGTTAACATTTATCATTCCAAGAACAGATAGAAAAATGTTAGTGCCTCTGAAATATTGAGACAGAAATTTGCATAACCCAAGTGAAGTAGAATAATTTAGAGATACTTAAAACTAAGTATTTGTGTATTATTAAAAACTGGATTGTTTTGCCTCCTCAAAGTAGGAGGTACACCTTTTCCTAATGATAAATACATTTAAGGTCTTCCCAGAGTGGATTCTGGACATACCTTGTTTCTAGTAGTAGGAGAAATAGGTTGTTTCTAGTTAAATCTTTCTTAGGAAAATGATCTCAAATCAGGTTTTCACTGCTGCATCCTACTGTGGTGCAGTCAAAATGAGGCATGGCTTTGCATGGTAAAGCCAGAGGGCACTGTTGCTGCTTTCTGCCAAACAGCCAGTTTTCTAGGGCTGCTGCATGATGTCATAGAAGAAAAAATGAAAAACACGAAGAAAACTATTTCAAAATAGATATTTAATGCAATCTTTAGGTCAAAGAAAAATTGGTTTTTACAGTTTCTGCAGTGAACCACCTGCCAGGATAGGACCAGCACAGTCTGGTTTTAAAGACCCCAATTTCCTCCTACTGGCACAGTTTCCCTTGATTTATTGATTTGTATATGCTGCTTATGCACCATAAGGAGCATTTCATTCTTGAAATTTCCATCACCTCCACTGTTGCCAATTTAGCTGCCAGAACAGGCAGAGAAGGGCGCCCCCCACCTTGTGTAGGGGTTCTTGACCACCAAGGAACTGGACAACCTCCTGAGTCTCTGGAACCCGTGGGTGTGTGTGAATATATATCTCACAAGGCTACATAAATTATGAGGTCCATGGACCCCCAAGGCTCCCCTGTCGTTTTTAAGGCTACAGGTTAAGGAACCGGTGTGCTAATAACTTGAGCAATACAATGGCCCTAGGGAAACACTGACACAGGTCAGGTGAAGGGGGGTTGGATTAACTATACTGACAAAGAACAATGGTTGAATTTATGATTTTTGACTCTGTGGTAGGAGTTAGTTCTCAGAGCCTTCCTGCATTTTCAAGAGAAGTACCTAACCTAGGCAGCTGTAGATTGAGAATAGCCGCTGTACTGGTAACATGCAGGGTTTCTGTCCATCACCTAACCCAGCCCTCTCACGACCCAGCTTTACTTGCAGAAAGGGGCATTTCAAATTTCAGTTTGATTCTAATGGAAAGGTCAGCTTTTCTTAAAGAGAAAAGTACTTAAGTATTGGAGAACGAAGCTAAGTCCTTGGATCACTTAGCCATTTCAAGTCCAATATTCTGTCTCTAACAGGTTAACATAAAGAGTTGCCCCACAAGTTTTATCTCCTGCTTGTACTAAGAAAGCAAGTTTACCAGGAGCCTCACCTAGGCATCCAGGAACTCCTAGCATTATTGGAGTGGCGGGGGAGGGCTTAGAAGGGAAGCCAGTATTACTGAAAACTTGACATGTAGAGATGAAATGATTCTTTCAGTTATCTAACAAATTGCTAAATTAGGTTTATACTTTTGCTAGCACACTTCTGAAAGGCCATCAAGGGGCAGATGCTAAGCTCTGCCTGTGGCCACTTTCTATTCCCCCAAATACCCAGCAACTGGTTAATTAAGAAAGAAAAGGCATTAGGAAGCAAGCACACTTAAGTACTGAAGATAAAACTGAGTGTATTTTACCTGAACTGTATTTTGAAGCATATTAAAACGATTGGGGGGGGGAACAATTTCAAGTCTTTTTGCAAACTGATAAATTTAACTTTTTAACCCTCTTCAAAAGTACAATCACACAATCACGATTTTGAATCTCTAGAAATCACACTGAAACTGTTACATTTACAAACATTAAATTTATTATAACTAGAATGACTGCAGTGGGTCTCAGATTTGGCCACCTCATAGCTCCGCTTAAGGAGGGGATTTTTTTTTTAACAGAAAAATGCATTATAACTTGGTCAAATTACTTGCACATTAAGAAACAACGTCTAATGAGGAAAACAAGAAAAGCAACCCTTCAGTTTCACATAATTAAAGAACAGGAGAAAGCACACAAGCAACATCATAGCTAAATTTACCAAACCAAAGCCAGGGGGATTTTCTCTTCTGATTATGTGTCATAAAAAGGTCCGCTGTCTTATATACACATGTATATAATGTTACATTCCAGCACTGTAAAAAGTCCCCTTTGCCCCCTCCCCCCAAAAGTTTTCAGTCTAGTCGCCGAACTTGGAGAGCGGCGCTCGCTCCTGCTGCCGGTGCAGTTCGTTCTCGGTCAGCAGCTGGAGGTTCTCGGCGCGCAGCCGCTCCAGCTCCAGCTCCAGCTCCCGCACTCGCGCGTCGACGCCACCCAGCCGCTTGCTTTCCAGCCGCAGCCGGTTATTCTCGTCCTCCTTGCGCGAGAGGCACTTCTCCAGCTCCAGGTACTCTTTGATGAGCTCCTGCTTGCTCATGTTCTGCAGGCTCTCGGCGTGGTACCGTTCGTACGTCTCCGAGAAGTCCCGCTGAAGAAACTCGCTGCCGTCCCCTCCCATGCCATCGCTGCCCCCGTCCTCCTCACCAGCTTCTTCCACAAAGTCCTCATCGCTGGTGTCGTCGGATTTGGCGGCTGCCCGCTTTGGGTAGAGGCCGGTTTTGAGGTCAGGCTCCTCCTGATCGTGGTCATCCATGAGGAACTGCGTGGTGTTATAGGGCGCGACCGGCTGGCCCTTTGCGAACATCTCAGCTCGAACCCGCGAGGCTCGCAGGCTCTGCTTCTCGTCGAACTTTTTCTTCTCTTCCCAAGTCAGCTTGTAGTATGGCTTCCAATGCCGCTTCTTCTTGGAGGGGCGTCTCCGATGCTTTTTCTTGCCCAGTTGTCTCTGCTGCTGTCCCCATGCTTCCTCGCCTCCAGCGGCAGGAGCCCCCAACTTGGTGGCCTCCGAGTCATGACCTGGCAGGACAAGGGACATCGGTTCCCCCTCCACCGACGGGGAGGCACCGCCAGTAGATAGGTCCTCCCCATTCTGGCCCTTCTCGCCCGTTTCCAGGCAGCTCGACTCTGAACAGTCATTGGTCTGCAGGGGGGGCGGCTGGAGCTTCAGGCCCCCTTCTCCCTCCTTCCCCGGACGGCCACCGGACTGCGGGGACGCTCTCGATTGCCACCTACTGTCCTCGTTGGGCACCCGTTCCTCCGCGCCTGGGGGGCGCTCAGAGTTCTGCTCCTCATGGACAACAGCAGCACCTGTACAGTTGCTAGTTTGAGGCTGGTGTTGATGGTCTGACAAGAGCGGCTCGGCCATGGCTTAGTAGAGTCCTCTTCTGGAAGTTTGAGGAATTTTGCCTTAAGGAAAAAGACGTTTTTCTTTCTTTTCAGAAAATGTCCAACAAAGTCCTCTTCGGCCGGTAATTACTGCAGTGACGCCTTTCGTCCGTCTTGTCAGCAAACTCCAATCGCAACTTGGAGTTAAGTCAATAAAGGGTTAAGCGCTCACAAGCGTGGCCAACTAGCAGGTCCAAGGGGGTGCAGCGGCAGGCACAGTACGTAATGTTCAGAGGGGTGGGCTTCACGCCTCCCCGCCGAGCGCTCCCACGATGGAGGAGTTGGTGGCAAGGAGATGAGGTTTAAGTCCAATGGGTTAAACCCAGCCCCGAAGGGGTTAAAACTACCCGATGACGCTGCCTCCGAGGGGCCGAATCCACAAAGGGTTAAATCCCCTGCCGCAGAGCCCACAAGGGGTTAAAGTCCCAGAGCTACCTCCTCCCACTTCCACGGGTGTCGCTCCAACCCGAGCTCCCAGTTCCCCAGGCCGGGCCGGAGCCTTAGCCGAGGACAGACAAACTCATCTCCCCTCTGGCTCGATGCTCCGCTCAGTTCTCCTCCGCCTCCTCCTCTTTTCCTCCCTCCCTCCCTCCCCCTTCAGACAGCTCTTCTTCCGCCTCCTCCTCCGGCTTCCCCTCCCAACCTGACTTTCCACCTGCCAACTTCCAACTGCTGTCTCCTAGCCCTCAGCGCCTCTTATATATAGAAGCCCGCTGGCCCCGCCCGTGCGCATGCGTAACGGAGTCCCCGAGTGGGGCCGCCGGGAGTCGTAGTCCGCTTCTTTCGGACCCGCCGTCCACGCGCGCCGTGCAACGTAGCCAATCGCAGAGCGCGTAGGGGGCGTCTCCCAGGCCGCCTCCTTCCATCGCTTTGCAGTCGCTGAAGAAACGTGAGCGGTCATTGGGCAAGAGTTATTCGTCTCTCTGAGGAGGGAAGGCCAATCGCAGAGGAGATGGGGCGGGTTCTGGACCATACCATTGTGCTTCAGGAATACAAGAAGATTCCAAGACCTTTGGGAGCCTGGACGGAATATTTTTATTAAAAGGTGCGTTTCAAAGACCACTGTCGTATTCTGTTCTCGGCGGAAAGGTTCTGATGCTCACAAACGGTTTTCATCTAGTGCAAAAATGGTTTGTCCCTAAAAAGTAGTCCCTAAAGTGTAAAGGAGGATTACATCCTCTAAAGAGAGATGTTAGTCACGATTACTGACATTGGATTCTTAAAGTCACAATAATGTCTCTAAGGCAGGTGACGAGCTCCTGGGAGAGAGATAAGCGGAAGGATATTGTGGACGAATATTTATTAAAGAAAAAACCGAAAAGCGCATGAAGAAGTAAACAAATGAAGAATTAAGAAGTGCCGCCTTAAAGGGACAGTGTGACGGTCTGTCGTGCATCAGCCTCAGACTAGGCCTCGGGAGATGAGAGGGCGGGTTCGAGTCCTGAGTGACGTCGGCCCCCAGGCTACCCTCGGGACCCCTGGGTGAGAAGAGCCACCCTGGCCGAGAACCTTCTCCACACCAGAGGTGACAGCAAGATGGTCATCCGCGGCCTCGCACTTCGCCTGAGCCCATCGAAAGCGCGTGGTGGGGGTGAAGGACTCGCCCGAACCCGGGATCCGGCCGAAGAAAATGGCCTCCCGGGGCCCCGGCCTCGTCGCTCCTGAGCCCGCACACCTTTCCTAGCAGCGCCAGGAGCGAGGGCCTGTTGATGCACGTCTCTGCGGGGAGGGAACCAAAGTCAGTGCGTTTCCGAAGGAAGCGGGGTGTTGTCCAGAGATGAGACGGGGAAAGAGGCTTCGAGGAGGACTGGAGGCCGGCCCTGAAAACGGGCGTGCTGGGCCCAGGGCCGGAGGGTAGATGGGGGTGAAGCGGGGGTCCTGTGCCCCCCAAGAGGAGTGCAGACTCTGATCTCCCACTCGAAGGACCCTGAAAACTCTCTTTAATCCCCTTGGCATAATTACCGCTTCTCCCTTTGCTGAGTACCCAGTGACCCATGCTTCTTATTTCTTCTCACGTTCCAGCCATGATTCAGTGAGGTTCTACGCACAGAACTATTTGACCACCACAGCCATGGGAGACAGGCCACAATTCAGCCTCCATTTTAGGTAAAGGAAGCTCCAAGACTTGGAGAAATAAAGTGACTTAGCCAAGGTCACCCGACAATTAAATGGCAGCTCAAACTAGAGCTTGTGTCTTCCTGACACCCAATACCATTTATTTTTGTCAGAAACACAAAATCCAAGGTCTGGAAAGCTGGCTCAGCAGTTGAGAGCCCTGGCACCCCACAGGGTGGCCCACAATTGTCTCCAGATCCAGGGGATCTGATGCCGTACATGGTTCACACATACACGCAGGTGGGGGGAACCTCAGATACATAAAATAATAAAAATAATTTAAAAGCAAAACACAAAATCCTTTCCCCCACCCCCTCAGGAACTCTGGATTGTTTCTTTTTATTTCCAGCAACTTCAAATGGTTGCAAACAATGCATATGGCAGTCATTTGTTAGGGTAAAAAGATAGGTTTTGAGTTTCAAGTTGCTCAGACTACACTAAGAAACCCAACCACAGTGAGCCAAAATGGCAAGCAAAGGAAATCTATTTTGCAACTTTGTGAGCCAAGCTGCTTGGGACTTGGGGACCTTGTGGACAGGTGGTGTGGAACAATTGAAGTAGCATGAAGGACACTTTACTTTCTTTGGTGTGGTCTTTCCTGAGACGCAGACCCTCCTGCCTCAGCCTCCACAGTAATTACAACTATAGGTTCATGTCACCTTACCGGGTTAAAGGCCTTTTATAAAGAGTAAAAGGATTTAGGAACTTCAGAGTGATGATGGGGGTGTGGGGGAGGGGAGGAGCAGTCTGTACGCAAGGCTGTCTCCAAGGGGAAAGCAAGCAGGAATGCCCCCGGGGAACATTCAGATGTTTTGAAAATTACCATTCTAGCTCGTTTTCCATGTACTTCCAGAAACTCATGTCTGTCTGAAAATCCTGCCTTTCTCTGTCTTCATCCATTACTTAGGAGGCACCAGGGACGAAGAAAAAGGGCATAGGATGTGGGAGAAGATGGCTCAGTAGTTAAGAGCACTTGTTCTTGCAGAGGACCCAGGCTCAGTTCCTAACAACCACGTGGCAGTTCACAACTGTAAGTCCAGTTCCGGGGGGATCTGGTGCTCTCTACTGACCTCCACAGTGCCAGGCACACGAGGTGCAGGGACACACGTGCAACAAAACGCTCACATGCATAAAATGTAGCTTTAACATTGTTTATGAGGAGCCGGGCGGTGGTGGTACACGCCTTTAAACCTAGCACTCGTGAGACAGAGCCAGGCGGATCTCTGTGAGTTCAAGGCCAGCCTGGTCTACAGAGCAAGATCCAGGACAGGCTCCAAAACTACGCAGAGAAACCCTGTCTAAAAAAACCAAAAAGTTAAGGTTGAAGCTAGACTAAGTTTACTAGGCAGGCCTACACGTGGGGTCTCCTCTATAATGTAAGACATGATCCCCCGGCTGTAGAACTCCAGAACCACAAGCCCTTTGACGGGCATTTTCCACTTTCGGTCATTGTCAAACCTCTCAACTGCCTTATGATGAAAAGACACAAGTCGATCCGGACCCAGGACAGTTAATCTTTCAGTCCAAGTTTGCAGAGCCAGCATATGACTTGTGAGGCACTTGTCCTGCATCCTGGTCCCAATTTGATCAGCTCCCACTGCCCAGCCGATGTCTGCCTTGATCACAGGTTTTTTCAACCTTTTTGCCTGTGACCCTGGACTGCCCTGCAGAGCCTGTGCAGTGAGTGGTGTCTGTCCTTAGGGCTCCCCTCCCTGCTGCTAAAGCCCCAAACAGTGACTGTATTTTCCCTGGGGCCTAAGGACAGCCGAGCCTGGGGAAGTGGTCGGATCCACAGTGTTAGGGAACTTACAGGAACCGGTCTAGGGATCTCCAGTACCATTTCCTTTCCCAAAGAGCAAGGGAGAGCCCGGGGCCCAGTTGGTAGCAGCTGCCAGTAGCTAGCCCCGTGGGCACTGAGTACAGGAGGTACTGGAGTGCTTAGTTTAAAGCTGAATACGAGCTAGTGGCTAGACCCAGACAGGCACATCAGCGTGGACACGGGCCACCTAGGCAGTTGGCAAAAGTTCCAAGGCCAAGCAGCTCAAGAGGTCCGTGCAGGCACTAGGTCCACCACACTTGGGGGGGGGGGGGGTAGGCAACAGTGGACCTGCCCCTACCCCTCAGGATAGAGGCTTCCAGTGGGTGGGCCTGGGCCTTCTAGAAAGTTCTCTGGGAATAACAGATGTGATGATAGGGAGTACCAACCAAGACTTAAGGGCTGGGTAAGCTGCAGCACTATTTGGAGCCCACCGCTGGGTACCCCAATCCTTAGTGCAGAGTGCAGTTGGGCCAGCGGCCCTCCCTCTGGGGCGGGGCCAACCAACGCCCAGCTCCCGGTAAGAACTCCAGGCCTCCAAGCTGTCCCCTTCCCCCCACCCCACCCCGTGCTCTCTGACCCCAGTACGAGGCCTGTTTTCTCCTGGTTCCTCTAGGGAGGAGGGAAGATATTCCTTATAAGGCAGCCCTAGCTTCTGCAGGGCACTTGGGGAGGGAGGGGGACCGGACTTGTGTCCCGCGCGACCCGCCCGTTTCCCGCTCTTTTCGTGGGCGCCCAGACGGCAGACTGAGGTTTTCTTTTGTTTAATGAAGCGTTCAATTGCACGTGAATCTTCAGTGAAGTCCTGAGCGCGATGTGTACTTGTGCGTGTGTGCGGGGCGTCCCAGCCCCCAGCCTGCACACTCCTCCCATTCCTCCCCGGTGCTCCGGGCTCCAGTCTTTCCTGTAACCTTCCAGCCAATCAGTCTTCAGGCCAGGTCCAAGTCCCAACTTGCCCAAGAGCCGAGCCTCGGCAGGGAGCCGACTCGGCGGGAGCAAAGTCAGGTGACCCAGAGGGTGGGGTCGGAGGGTGCTCACCGCCAACCCCAAGGCTAGGATGTGCACCATGACAGCAGCCAACCCGACAGCCTGGGGACCCGGGGCGTCGGTGCGAGCTGCAGGGGAAGGTGGGGTCTTATGGGGCCCCCACTAAAGGAGGGAGTGCCAGGGTGAAGGAGGATAGGAAGGGGATTTCTAATGCTGTTTCCCTAAACCTAGGGAGGCTCAGGGCACAGCAGGACGTGTGGGGACTCATTAGCCTTCTCAGTTGCTAGAGAGACCCTTTCCTTTAGTCACCTCTTCTGGGTCCGAAACTGTCGGAAGAGCCACTGGACAACGAAGGGCCACAGGATAAAGAAGAGCAGCGTGGGAGCCGAAAGCCCTAGGGGCCAAAGCCGAGTCCTGGGTGGCCTCTGCAGCCAAGAGGGAAGGAGTCAGAAGCCAGCCCAGGTCATACCATATCCCCCCCCCCTTTTTTTTTTTTTTTTTTTTTTTTGGTGTTTCGAGACAGGGTTTCTCTGTGTAGTTTTGGTGCCTGTTCTGGATCTCGCTCTGTAGACCAGGCTGGCCTTGAACTCACAGAGATCGCCTGGCTCTGCCTCCCCAGCCCAGATTCAGTACAGCCCTCCTAGTAGCCTGCTTCCAGACTCATTCTGCTTGGCCTCCCTGAGACTGGGGAGGTGCTCCACTAGCCTGCGGTGCTCCCCCTCCCCCATCCTCTCTCACACAGGGGTCCAATCCCAGGTGATAGGAGAGATTGTGGGAGACTAGCTTCCAAGCCGGCTCCTCCAGGCTGCAAAAGAAGGACCCGGCTAGTAGGAATAAAGACCTGTACTGTAAAGCACATATCACATATTTCAAACAAGGACCCGGGGTTCTCAGATGTAAGTTTCTAAATATCTATTCTAGAAGGAGCTGGGACTCCTGGGAGGAGTAGCTGATTCTAGGGTCGGGGCAGGGAAGGTGAGGCAGTGTGAGACATCTTGTACTAAAAAGCTAGAGAGCCCCTAAAAGATGAACTAAGGGTCTAAGAACAGGATCTGGCTTGAAAGGATCTCCAAAGTTGTGACAGTCTAGTTAAAAAAAAAAAAAATAATGTAGGGAGCTGATAAGATAGTTCATTGGCTAAAGCCTGCCATACACCCCTGATTGCCCGAGTTCAATCCCCAGAGCCTACAGAAAGGTAGGAGAGAACCAAAGTTTTCCTCTGATTTACACACACACACACACACACACACACACACACACACAGCAGTGCACAGTGGAGGCTCTAACTCCACTGGGAGTATCTAACAAGGTCAGCACTGCACAGACATGGCGCATGGACAGACGTTCAGGCAAAACACTCGTGTACACGAACACACAAAAAGAGCTGGATATATGGCTCTGTGGTAGGCACCTGCCTAGCATGTGAGGTGCTGGGTTCAAAACCCAGAACTGCAAAAAACAAAAGAATGATTACAGATGATTAAAATGATGAATCTTTAAAATTTAGGAGTCTGTGACGATAAGAAAACTAGAAATGATACCACTGAGGAGGCTTGCCAGCCAATTCCTTGCCTTAAATATTAATTAGGGTCTGGAGAGAGGGCTTAGCAGTTAAGAACACTTGTTGGTCTTGTAGAGAGGCTAAGTTTGGTTCCCAGCACCACGTGATGACTCAGTCATCCATAACTCCAGTTTCAGGGGACCCGACACTCTCTTGAACTTCATGGGCACAAGGCACAAACACGTCACACAGACATGCATGGAGGCAAAACACTCAAGGACATGAAATTAACGTTGACAAAGAAATAATTAAATAAGCCCAGGCTGGGGATGCAGCTCAGTGGTCAGCACTTCCTAGCATGTGCAAGGCCCTGTGCTCTACCACAGCACCATACAACAAAAGATAAAGAAGATGAGCTGGGGTGGGGGCAGAGCCAGGTGGATCTCTGTGAGTTCGAGGCCAGCCTGGTCTACAGAGTGAGATCCAGGACAGGCACCAAAGCTACACAGAGAAACCTGAAAAACCAAAAAAAAAAAAAAAAAGAGAAGACGGGCATGGAGGCCCTTGCTTGTAATCCTAGCACTCAGGAGGCTGAAGCAGGAGGATCATGGGTGAATTCTAAGGGCTAGACTGGCCTGCATATCAGGATCCTGTCTCAAAGAAAAAGAAAAAAGGAGGAAGAGGAAGAAGAGGAAGAGGAGGAAGAACAGGGTCCTGTTTCAAAAAAGAAGCAGAAAAAGAAACCTTGTTTTTTCCGTGGTTAACAACTTTGTTTCAGGAAACCTTACAGAAAACAAAATGTTAACCTGTTGGAGGAATAAGAGAATCGAAAATCAGATTTTTGCAAGCACTAAATAAATTGCTGTCCAGGCAAAGATGAGCAGGTGTCAAACACAGCATGGCAAGTAGTTGATGAACTGGATATTTCATGGCTTCAAAAGGAAAACTTGACATCATGGAGTTGGGGCCAGAGTGTCACCCTTGCATCCAGACCAGCAGTACACACTAGACTCACTAGTGGTAGAAGGCCAGATACCACCTGTCCCATGGGTGTCCCCTGATATGAGGGGCATCACTCTGATATGGCTTGTTTGTAAAACAATAATGGTTTGGTTTTATTTGTGTGTGTGTGTGTGGGGGGGGTACCTATCACGGTCTGGCTCCCTGGAGCTGAAGTTCCAGGCATTTCTGAGCTGCCTGATATGGGTGCAAGGAAGTGAACTTAGGGTCTCTGGATGAATAGGAAGCACTCTTAATAGCTGATCAATCTTCCCAGCCCCCAGATTTCTGTTTTTAATTTATTGAAGGTCTTATTTTATAGTTCAGGATGGCCTGGAACTCACAGCAACCCTCCTGTCTCAGCCTCCAAAGTGCTAGGATTACAAGTGTAAACTACATTGGGCAGCAGAGGGAAGGAGACAGAGGCAGGCAAATCACCATGAGTTCAAGACCAGCCTGGTCTGCATAGTGAGTTCTAGGCTAGCCAGAGCTACCCAGTGAGACTCTATCTCAAACAGAACAAAACAAACAACAAACAAAAGCCCAAGGGCTAGCTAGATGACTCAGTAGTTAAGAACACTTGCTGCTCTTGCAGAGGGCCTGGCATTCACATGGCAGCTCACAACTGTCTTTGATTCTAGTTTCAGGGGATCTAACACCCTCTGCTGACTTCTGAGGATACCAGGCACACATGTGGTACACAGACTTCCATGCAGGCAAAACACTCATACACATAAATGTAACTAAAAAACCAAAACACTAAAACCAAAAACTTGTCTCTGATGGAACCTTGACCAGAATGCTTAGCGGGATATTAAACCAGTCTTTGTATCTCACACTCATTTCACAGGAAATACAATGAAAAGGAAACCGGACATGATTAGACCCCAAAAGTGGGACACTCTGCATGCCCCGATGCCAGGACTAGTTCAGGCTGAGGAATGTTAGATGCTGAGCTGAATGCCCTAGGTTTGGCATCTGCCTTCCTGCAAAGTCAACAACAGCCATAATGATGACGACCTACGGACACTGTGACCCTGCACTGGACAACAGCAGCTGGAAAGCAGCTTCACAACTAGGAAAATCTGAGCTTGGATTGGCTATCTGGTGATACTAAAGAATTGTAATGAAATATATTCAGAGTAGAACTTTATGGATGTGTGTGTGTGTGTGTGTGTGTACATATACATATACTTTTTTTTTTTTCTTTTTGGCTGGCTTAGGACTCAGTGTGTAGCTTAGGCAAGCCTCAAATTTCATGAATCCTCCTGACTGCCTCCAGGGTGTTAGGATTGTAGGTATGCTGTAACAATCTACTTAAAAATGCTGAGGACCAAGCCGGGCGGTGGTGGTGGCGCGCGCCTTTAATCCCAGCACTCTGGAGGCAGAGCCAGGCGGATCTCTGTGAGTTCGAGGCCAGCCTGGGCTACCAAGTGAGTTCCAGGAAAGGCGCAAAGCTACACAGAGAAACCCTGTCTCGAAAAACCAAAAAAAAAAAAAAAAAAAATGCTGAGGATCAAGCCAGGTGGTGGTGGCACACGCCTTTCATCCCAGCACTTGGGAGGCAGAGGCAGGTAGATCTCTTGAGTTCAAGGACAGCCTAGGACAGCCATGGCTACACAAAGAAACCCTGTCTCAAAAAACTTGAAAACAACAAAATGCTTAGGATCAATGAGAAGGGTTAGCAAAAAAGGATGCTTGCAGCCAAGACTGATGGCTCTCCTTTAATCTCCAGGACTCACATGGCAATTGTCCTGTGACCTCCACATGTGCTCCAAGGTATGCATGCACATGGACACACACACACACACACACACACACACACACACACACACACACACACACACAGTCACCACCACCACCACCACCCCATTTTATCCAGGCCTGATGTCACAGGTCTGTGATTTCAGTTAGGTAGCAAATGCTAGCTTTAAACTTCTCTTCTCCCCTTTGGGTGGTGCTAGGTTGAGCCTAGAGCCCCTTGGCTCCTAGGGAAATGCCCCATTGCTGAGCTGTCTCCCCAGCCCTACCCCAGCCACTCTATCATCTATAAAACAGACTCTAATTTCAAATGGGCAACTTAGTAGTAAGACCTTGTCTCAAATAATAAACGAGCTGATGATGTGGCTTAGGAGGAGAGCCCTTGCTTAGAAGTCCCCAGTACAAGATGAGGGGTGGCTTTGGGGCGGGGGTATCCTTGGCATTTCAAGTGGGTAAAAGGTAAAACAGAAAAATGATGCTGTGGGGGAGGGGAGGCAGTGTTGAAATCCCTGTCACCAGGGCTCAGATCCACCATGCTCAGTAGGTTAGGGGTCACACCAGAGATCTCCAAATAGAGCGAGCAGGCCCATGCCTGTTTTAGACACCCTTTTACCAGGCTTCTCACTAGGGTGGGCACCAGGAGACTTGGGGCCACCCCGTGCTTCATCACTGCCTATTAACCATCAAAACAATAACAAGAGAGCCCATTGGAGAGATTGTCAGGTACTGGGGACTGCAAAAGCAGTTCAGTGAAGGTCGCCCATGTTGTGTGCCCCCAGGTAAGTGAAATTCTCAGGCCTCAATTTCCTCTTCTGCAAAAGGGAAATAAAGCCAGGAGTGGGGGGGGAAGGCCTGTAATCTCAGCTTTGGGAGGCTGAGGCAGGAGGATTGTAAATTCTAAGCCTTTGGGCTACATAGCAAGATCATGCCACAAATAGACAAAAGCCATATATATATATATAATATATATATATATGTATATGAGATAGATAGAGAGAGAGAGAGGAAGAAGGAGGGAAAGGGAGTGAGAGGATATCAGTAAATCAGCAGCAAGGCAAAGAACTGGTCTAGATTAAAAAACATTTATGCGGGGGTGGGGGGGGGGTGGGGGGGGGGTGGCGTACTCCTTTATCCCAGCACTTGGGAGGCAGAGGCAGGTGGATCTCTGTGAGTTTGAAGCCAGCCTGGTCTATAAAGTGAGTTCCAGGACAGCCAGAGCTATTACAAAGAGAAACTCTGTCTCAAAAAAAACCTGAAAAAGCCGGGCGGTGGTGGCGCACGCCTTTAATCCCAGCACTGGGGAGGCAGAGCCAGGCGGATCTCTGTGAGTTCGACGCCAGCCTGGGCTACAGAGCGAGATTCAGGACAGGCACCAAAACTACACAGAGAAACCCTGTCTCGAAATAAAATAAAAAATAAATAAATAGCCGGGCGGTGGTGGCGCACGCCTTTAATCCCAGCACTCGGGAGGCAGAGCCAGGAGGATCTCTATGAGTTCGAGGCCAGCCTGGGCTACCAAGTGAGTCCCAGGAAAGGTACAAAGCTACACAGAGAAAACCTGTCTCGAAAAACCAAAATAAAATAAAATAAAATAAAATAAAAATATAAAACATTTAGCCCAGTGGGGCGGTGGTGGCACATGCCTTTAATCCCAGCACTCGGGAGGTAGAGGCAGGAGGAGCTCTGTGAGTTCGAGGCCTGCCTGGTCTACAGGGCTAGTTCCAGGACAGCCAGGGACACACAGAGAAACCCAAAAAAGCAAAGAAAAACAAAACAAAACAGTTAGGCGGCCAGGCAGAGTGGCTCATGTCTGTAATCCCAGCACACCCAAGCCTGAGACAGGCGGATTACCAGAAGAGCAGCCTGGGCTACATACTGAGTCCCCGACCAGCCTAGGCTTGAGTCCCTGTCTCACACAAGACAAATGAAAACACCACAAAAGCATACTTAGAATAGGAGTGTAAGCCGGCCGGTGGTGGCGCACGCCTTTAATCCCAGCACTCGGGAGGCAGAGCCAGGTGGATCTCTGTGAGTTCGAGGCCAGCCTGGGCTACAGAGCGAGATCCAGGACAGGCACCAAAACTACATAGAGAAACCCTGTCTCGAAATAAAATAAAAAATAATAGGAGTGTAACTGTGCTCTGAACTGTTCTGCATGAGATGGGGTGCAGGGAGATGAAAGGTGCAAAGTTGAACTGTTGGGGGTAAACCCTACATCTAGGAACAGGGGTGCCAGTTGAAGGCCCACAGTGACCCCATCTCCAGTGAAAAAAGCAGACACTTGGTGGCCCTTCCAACTCTGAGAAGTGACTCCCTGCTTGGTTTTCCTTGGGCAGAGCTGGGTGATCAGTGAAGGGTCCCTCTTTCCTGGTAGGCTCTTCCGACACTCCCCCCACCCATCGATGGCTTCCCTGACCAGAATAGCAGCTGCACTGTTCTCGGCATAGAGCATCGGACAGCTGGAGTCATGGGCCAAAGCCCCTCACAGCTGACTGAGGAATCCAGAGCAGAGTTCTGAGGCACTCTTGCCCAATCTTTGAGTGAAGGAGGCAGGCACTCACCTGCTCACGTGGCTGGGGCTTGCTCTCCAGGCTCTGCAGTCTCCTCTGGACATTGCTCATACTTTCCTGCATGGCCCGGACTGTCCCCACCAGCCATCTGTCCAATTCCTGGGGCCCCATCAGGCTGCCTTCCAACCCCTCTGTGGAGCATAGAGACACAGGGAAGGGGACTCAGGAGACAATCTGCACAAGCTGGGCCAGGTCCAGAGAAGTGTAAGAGCACTATCCCTGCCCCAGTGAGGTCTTTACAAGGTCCATCCCTTCAGAGGACTGAGTAATGGGCTGCTGGAACAGGCCTCAATCCTAGCACTACCACTGATTAGCTATGTGACTCTGGGCAAAACATTCACTTCTCCGAGCCTTATTTTAGCTCCTGAAAATTAGGGGGAGATGTCCTCTTCCTCAGGCACCTGGTCTGCTCAGGGGAATAAACAACCAGTTCATGACAGTATCCCTTTGAATTTAGCACACAGGAAGCTCTAACAGAGATAAAGCAGACACAACTCACTGTCGTCCTCTGAGAATTCCAAAGGGGAGACACAGAGAGAGGACAACTTCCCAGTGCCATGCACCTGTGTCTGTAAGTTGCCTTTGCTGAGGGTCAGAGGCCAGCCACCTCGGGAAGAGCCGGGACAAGGATTTTGCTGTCCTGGGCAGGCATTTGGCTGTCGGGTAGCCCTCCCAGGCTGCTCCCAGTGGGTCCACTGGACTTTCACCGTTGTCCTAAGAAAGCAACCCAGGGAAGGCTTGGGGTACCAGGACTATGGGCGGGGGGGTAGAGAGTTCACCTTTCTCACTGGGGGGCTCGGGGCTGCTTCTGGTGTCCAGCTCTCTGCCAGCTGCTCCCCTCTGCTCTGCCCAAACCTGCTGAGATGAGTCCCAGGTCTCAGGGTGGAGGCGGGGCAGCTCTGGCACAGCGGGAACAGGGGACAAGAGAGACGGTCTCATCAACTCTGGTTCTAGCTGCTCCAGGGAGTCACAGAAAACCTCCAGCTCCAAGTCCCTGGGTGGCGGGGACTCTGGGGGAGGGGAAAGGAAAGGCTCTTGCCAAGGGCAGCTGCACAGGGGTTGGGGTTCCTGCTCCAGAGGGAGGGGAGAGCAGGCAGCTGAGTACCAAGCCCTTCCTTAGGGGACCTAGAGTTCTTGCCATAACGGGTACGATGGGCCCAAGACATGAGACCCTGACAACAGTCTCAGAGCCTCCCCTTGGCCTCTGAGAGCACAGGAAGTCTCAGTGTCCCTGGACATATGCTATAAAGGGGACAGTGTGGAATCGAGCTTCTCCCCTCCTGAAGGTGTCCCTTCCCGGTCTAGGTCTGGCTCTGTGTCTCTCCTGCCCAACACTAACCTGGACTTGGAGGCACTGGCTCCTTGGGGAAGCAAGAAGGCTCTGGAGCGGTCTGATCGTCTCTATGCAGCACTGGCTCTTTCCAATCTGTCAAGACACCACAGTCCTCAGAGGGGGCAGGGAAGAGGCTGGCACCTTCCAGGGAGATCAAGTCCCTTGTCCCCATTAGTCATGCACACTAGCTGATAACTAGCCCAACAGGGGCACTGACTGAGGTCCTTACAGATGCCACACCTGTGGCCCTTTGCTCCTACTGCCCCACAGCAGCCACCCGCCAGCCCACACCTGAGACAGTTCATTCTGTATTTTCAGGGCTCCCATCCTGGAGATCTGACCTGCAACCCTTCTCAGGAAGGTGTCTGGGGGCCTCGGCATGTCAGGGATCACCTGGTACAGGGGCTCGAAATAACCAAACATATCCTCTGCCACCTCGCCCAGGGGCACTGTGTCGATCACCTGTGCAGAAAGGGTTCTAATGGGACAGGCTGGCCCCTCCCATGCCCACCCCCCATTCCCGTGGGGCCCAGGGCGGCCCCTCCCATGCCCACCCCCCATTCCCGTGGGGCCCAGCCTCCCCCTTTATTACTGCATTTTCATGCACCCCCACTTTGTATGAGTCAGGGTCAGACAGGATTGGGAGAAAGGGTAACAGAAAGGTGATTTCCAAAAGGATATCAAGGGATAGGAATTCACGGAAGCACACCCCTAGAAGAGTGAGGAGCAAGCCGCCCTCAGGGACCGAGCACCACAGCCCGCCCTCACTACCTTTTGTGCAACCAGCTTCATCTCAGAGATGTAGGCGGACATGGCTTCCCTCCTGCTCATCTTGCCCAGGCTGTTCCAGGCATCCCTAGGAGGCAGAGGGCTGTGAGAAGCTGGATGACGGCTGAGGCATTTTTACCCCGGGGGAAGGGGGGCTCACCACTTGTAACGTCCAATGGGGTCCCAGAACCCAGGCCGGGGAACCAAGCAGGGCCCCATGGTAGCCTGCTTGTAGTAGCTGTAGAATCGCAGCATCTCTTCATAGGAGGGGCGGTAAGAGCCTGAGCAGAGGGTTGGGAGGTAGAGGGCACCTCATCAGCCCGGTTCTGAGAGGATAAAGGCTGCACCTTGGGAGGGCAGAGGTGGCCACGGATCCCACCCATGACATCTAGAACAGGAAGCAGAGAGGAATCCCACCAAAGCCTAGGGAGGAACTTGTCTGTAAACATTGCAGGGTTCAGGCCCGGTTCCATTTGGGGATCGGAACCTGCCTAACCATCCTGAACCCCAAAATGCCAATCCCTACAGCCTCACCATTCTTAGGCAGGTTCTGAATGACGCTGACCGCTGCCTGGAACTGTTTCTGGCAGTCGGGCTCTTCCTTCTCAGTGCCCATGCTGCTCTGAACTCTGGAGTCCTACTTTGGAGCAACTCTGCAAGATCGAGTGTCAGTGTGACCAGGCCTCACGGTCCACGGTGGCACTGTGAGCCACTGGTCCAGTTCCCAGAGAGGCAAACCAAGTCCCAAGACTTGAGCGCTACCCCAGGAAGCCAGAAGTTGAGCTGAGGAGGGTCCTTCTCCTACCTCAAGGCAGCGTCAACGGACCCAGAGTGGCGAGGACCACCAGCGTGGCCATGGGTGGGAGGAAAGCAGGTGGCAAGGGTCTCAGAGCCATTCGCGTCCCCAGATGCACCTCTCTAGGCTGCCCATTTCCAATTCCTGAACGGGCGAATCAGCGAGCGAGGAGGAGTCAGGGTGGGACGAACATCCACCCTGGCTCCCTGCGCCCGCTACGGCCCCTCACTCACCCTTGGGCGCCCACTGCCGGGACACCGGGGTCCTCTTCTCACCACTAACCAGGGGTTTCCGATTGACCTCTGGGTCCAGAGGGGCAGGAATAGGGCGGGACGCCAAGCGAGACTAAAATGAAGCCAATGAGAGGCACCGTTTCACATTCGGCTTCTACACCCTAACCAGTCAGAAAGGCTCTTTCAAGATTATGCAAATAGTTTCACCCTGCCTCTCCCATTCAGGAGGGGCTAATTTGTGGGTCGCACTCCGCACAGCCCGACAGCCAGCGGCGGGCTGCAGCGCCTCCCGGTGGACACACCGGATGGTCGCCGAGTCCTCGCGCCCCCTGGTGGACACTCACGGGAGTTGGTCTGGGAACACGTCTACGCTGGCAATAGAAGCGAGTCCTGGAGCCCAGCGTCCCGCAGAAGGGACACTGGAGCTGAGTTTTGGAAAAACTAAGAATAAACCAGAAAAATAACGAAAAAGAAGATTCCTGGAAGGAATCACAGGTCAAGAGCAGAGGCGAAGGTTTGACGATTAGGAAGTTCCAGATCGCAGAGATGGTGGTGACTGAAGCTAGCCTACGGAATTGCTGGGACTCGGATATAGGGGGACAGAATACAGCGGGGCGAGTAGACAGCGATTCTAGGACCCGAGAAACCCAACTTTTAGCGTGGGGACGCCTGGCCGTTGGCCGCTGCCAAGCGCCAGCTCTGTACCCCTACCCAAAGCTTGTGCTCGAGGGCCACCCGGACATCCCACCCTTCGCATTCACAAGTGTACATCCAACACTCCACGGGCACCCATAAAAGGAGGCTTTCCACGGGCTGACGTCGCCAACACCTTCTCAGAGTGCGGTGCAGATCCCCTGACCAAGGATGGAGCGTCACACGCTTTGGTGTACCAAAGCCTCTTAAGCTTTGAACCCCGGAACCAGTTTCGGGGACTCTAAACTTAGTCGCACCTCAGCCTTCAAATCAGTTAGCTTCGAGACGTCCACCTGTAAGGGGTGGCTACTGACTCGGAGCCGGGAGGTTAATCCATGACGTCACTGCCCCAGCCTCCCGCCCCCATCCCTGCGCAGCTCTGTTCTGGGGTTCTAGGGGCTTCCCCCCCCCCAGGACCCTTTAGCCCAGGACGAGCCTCTGTAGACCTGACCCCTGTCTGGCTCCCTAAGGGACCCGGCAAAGGTGGATGGCGTAGGGACCTGGGTCTTAACGGAGTCCGGGTCCCCAGAAAGAAGTGTCTGTGCCGGTGGACAGTCCTCTCCTCCTAGGGTATTCAGTCCCTGCAGGGACTCTGGCCACTGGTGGGGAGATCCGGGGACCTCTGGGGAAACGGAAAGACGGACTCACTAGCAGGGGCGAACAGCTCCGGGCCTGGGGTCCCCGCAGGCACCTCGCGCCGCCCACTCTGGGCCTCGCTCCTCCCACCTCCACCTCGTCCCTCCCTCTCTCCCTCCTCCCGAGGTCTCCTCCTCCCGACTCTCACGGCGCCGCTAAGTTTCTTCGCTCGGGACCGCGCACCGGGCGCGGGCTGGGCGCGAGCCGTGTGCCGGTTTGCCCCATCCTCGCGCACAGATCCCGGGCCAGCTCCGGACCCCCCTTGGACCATGCTGTGCGGCAGCTGGAGAAGGAGCCGTCGCTCTCCCGAGGAACCCCGGGTGGCCGCCCAGGTCGCAACGCCCCTCGCGCTCCCGCCCTCGCCCGCGTCACCGGACAGCGGCACCAAGGGGCCTGGGCTGCGGGCACTGAAGAAGATGGGTCAGTGACACTCAAGGATGGGTCCGGGTGGGCACGAACTGTCTCTAGGGACAACCTGGAAGGAGCGGGTGTACAGGCCAACTGGCTTCCCAGGGTGCGTGGCGCTAGGGAGGACCTGACCTAGAGCATCAGCACTGTTCCAGTTGGGGGTCACACCTGGGGTCACCATAGTCCCAGGCTGTGCCAGAAGGCCTGGATACCCTTACAGTCTCACCAGGAGGCGCCCGCCGGGCCGTGCTGAAGTGAGAATTGGGGATAGGGGCAGGGATAGGGTCGCAGGAGCGAGAGAATGGAGTGAGAGATAAAATCTTGGAGTTAGGTTGGGGATGTAGCTCAAATGGTAGAGTGCTTGCCTAGTTGTAGGTTCGATCCCCAGTATCACATTCCTAACAGCTCATCAACTTACTGTTGGTAATCCCCCAGCACTGGAGAGGTGGGGGTAAGTGGATCAGAAGTTCAAGATCATTCTCCGCTACACAGTAATTAATACATATATCCCAACCTGGGATATGAGACCCCTGTCTCAAAAAAAAAATACATACATTAAAAACTTGGAATGCACTCACCTCCCTCTCTAGTGCTGCCTGAGGTCTACGGGCACCTCACAGTACCTGCTGTTCTTGACCCTGAGGAGCCGTTTACAGATGGCCTCAGGAAGACTCCAGACTCCCAAGCCGGCCCTGTAACCCTCAGGTCCTCTCTGCCAGGAGCAGCCACAAAGTCCTGGCGTGACTGGGGGATGGTTTGAGACAGTCCAGGTTCCAGAAGTGAGTGAAGTCATTAGTTCTCAAGGAGTCCCAGAGTCAGCTCAATACTGTGGTAGTTTGCTGCAGGTGTGTGAGATTCACCCTCCTGAGGTAGGTGGCCTAATCCCCATTTCATGGAGGAGGAAACTGACTCAGACATCAAAGAATTTTGTCTAGGGCACTCAGGCTGTGTACCATCACACCTGACACTGTCACAGTCAGGGCAAGATGGGACTCACGGGGCTTGAACAAGGGGCATAAAGGAAAGCGCTTTATAAACTGTAAAGTGCTGGAAACTGAAGAGCTTTGTTGGAGCTGCCAACCTCAAGACAGAATTCGGGGGTCCCAAATGCCAGCCTGGGCTTCCCTTCACAGCTGTCCCCTCCTCTTCCTCATTCCACCTGAATGTATGGGAAGTTGCTCTGAGCACTATGCCTAAGGCAGGTCTTTACCCTGCCCTCCATGAAGTCATTCAAGAGGTCAGTATTTATGGACCCAACAGCAGACAAGCTAGACACAGTCCTGCCCTCAGAGAGCTAAATGACAAAGTGAAGGGGTCAGAAGATGGGCCTTGAGGAAGGGGGAGTAGATCGCGATGCTGGGAAAACAGGGGGGACCCCACTGGACCCCAGAACTTAAAGAGTGCTTGTGTGGATGGGAGAGAGGCAGAAGGACCCCTTGGGGTCCCTCGCTTTGTTTAGATGGCAGTAAGGGTCCCAGAAAGGCAACTGGCAGGAACCGTAACTGAGTTAGAGGAGTGGATGGACAGTAGGGTGGTCCAAACAGGGGTGAAAGCAGGACTGGTTGGAAGGAGACAGAGGAGTAGCTGGGAAGGGGTATTGGGACTCAGGAGGCAGTGGCGTGGGGAGGAGGATCCAGAGTCACCAATATGACTGGGATGACTCCCTACTATGAAATCGGGAGTCTCTGGTTAGAGGTGGCACTATTCTGTGACCTCATGGTTAGGGGTTGGCAGTGTGAGGTGACCTGCCACCAAGGCAGGACAGAGCTCTCAGGAGAAGCAGCCTGAGCCATTGGCCCCTAGGGGTTATGGATGTGGCTGGAGACAGAGACGAAGCTATCACACACCAGCTGTCCCTTGCTCCTGTGTCCATTTGCTGAGCCCCATCAATGGCCACAGTGCTAGGCCAGGGGCTGAGGCCGCAAAGAAGGGTGACCGAGGCTTGCCCCAGAGGCACATAGTGTGCTGGGAAGAGACTTGTAGACACGTAATTACAGGAGAGCCCAGCTGGGCAGGAGTCAGCTGAGCATGGCCGCATGGGAGCCCTGGCTAGTTCATCGTGGAACTATGTACATATCAGAGTGTCATCTGTGCCCTTCCTACCACCACTGGCTGGTGCTGCCCTGCTGAGTGATTGCTGAGTGACCGTAGAGAAAGGAATTCCAGTGTGTAGGGAATGTCACTTCCCCCAAGCAATGCTGACCTCCATGCTGAGCCCGGGGACAAGGCAGAAACAAACCCAGTGGGCCTAGGGCCCAGCCCCATGGTCCCCAGAATGGCTAAAGCCTGGGCCTGTCACCAAGATAACTTCCATCCCCATCCACCCCTCCCAAGATGACCCCCATCACCCCCGATCAGGCTAAGAGAAAACAGATCTTATTTCAGGTCAAGGAACTGGAGCAGGGAGTATCTCAAGGGACCCGCGGGAGGAAAAGGCCTGTGGAGCCACCGTAGGGAACTAGGCCAAGCGCAGGGGAGGAGAGAGACTGAGTGGGAGCTATTTGCAGGGCTGGGCCGGGCCTGAACATTACTGTCCACTGAGCTTGCCTCAGACTTCATCCTGCTTATTTTTCAGTCATTCCTGGAGCATGTGTCCTCCTCAGTGACAGAGAGACAGGAGATGGCAGGGTCGAGCCCCTTGCCAGGCAGCCATGAAGAAACCCTGGCTGCCTGCCACCCACAGTCAAGGTTCCAATGACACACTTTATTATCATAATTAGTGAGTACTGACACCTCCAGATCATCATGCCATGTGCTCTGTGTATCATCTCACTTAGCGTCCACAGTCCCATGAGATAGACAGTGCCAGGAGCTTCATTTCACCATGAGATAGCAGACTCAGAGAGGGGTCAAGGCTGGAAGTAAGCCAGCTGTGGTGACCCAGGCCTGGAATCCCAGCCCTGGAGAGACAGAGAGGCCAGCCTGGTGTACATACTGAGTTCCAGACCAGAAAGGGCTGTGTATCGGGACTTTGTCTCAAAAAACAAAAGCTAAAAGGGATGGAGAGATTCGAACCCAGGCAGTATGGTCCAGAGACTGGGCTCTAAACACAGAGATGAAAGAGATGTTCATCTGGGAAGGGCCTGCTTTTCCTCAGAGATGGCCTCCCAGGGTTGCCAATGAAATACAGGATGCCAAATTGTTTTGATTTGGTTTGGTTTGGGGTGTTTTTGTTGTTGTTGTTGTTTTGTTTTTCTGTTATAGTCTTGTCTGTCCTGGATCTCGCTCTGTAGACCAGGCTGCCCTCAAACTCGCAGAGATCTGCCTGCCTCTGTCTTCCGAGTGCTGGGAGAAAAGACAGGTGCCACCAATGCTCGATGCTTAATTTGAACACTGGGTGGACAATGAATAATTTTGGACATAGAGATGTATCTGTCTACCTCTAGA